TATAAGAACTTAAGGTGCATTTTTCTAAAAAAAATTGTTATGTAAGACATCGAAATTTTCACACCGTTGTTTAGATAATTATCACTGTCATCAATTTCGAACGAAAAAAATATGCGTTGACATTAAAAAAAAATTATATCATCGCTGCTGTAAGTGGATTATCGAAAAAAAAAAATTTTTTTACATAACAAGGTGCCCTGAATCAAATAAAAATCGACGGGTCTCACCGTTTTTCGAAAAAATAATTGTTTAACGAAAATATGAATTTTATGCAGAACTTTTTTACCAGTATACAAATTCGGACACTGGTCTTTATACAACAAATCTTCCTTACTATACAATTGGACAATAAAGTCTACAACACATAATAATGTATAAGTAATTCATTTTAACCTTTATTTCATAGATGCATAAGGTGTATTAAGCACCTTCCAGTTAAACTTATTGAATAATATGGAGATGAGTGCTTTTTTTTAATAAAAGTTGTATATTTGTTATAAAAGTTTTTATATGCGCTATACACATTATTCTAGATAAACAGTTTAATAAGCCCATTTCTTTCAGTGTAGAATTCGGATAGATGCCCCATTTGCGACAGAATACCCACATTATTTTTCCAAGAAGAATAGAATGAAGTTGAAATAAAAATGAAAAGGAATATTTTAAAATCTAGAAGAAAAAACAAGACGTAAAGAAGGAAAAAACAGTTTAATTATTATTAAATACCAAATCATCACCTTCTGGCGTTGGTTTTTGCGCCGGTCATATACTAACCTAATTTAAATTGTCAAGTATGAAAAAACAGAGGATGAAAGACGAAATAACTTATTTCAGTGACTTTTTTATTTTTAACTGTTTTAAATATGCTATGATATAAGTTTATTGATGTAAGAAGTATTTATAGTCCAGACCACAGAGCACGTCCAAACGGTATATCTGTTTCAAAAAGTCCATATTTGGGTGAATCGTATATCCACGAAGATTTTTGACTTTTTCGCTTTCAAATATCACTAGAAATGACATTTTTTCTAATCGTATAAAAAAAACGTGAGCTTAACTTTTGGCGGCACAATATGTTAAAAAAATTCGAAAAATCTCATGAGTTGATTTTAGGCGAAAATGGAAGAGGAAAAAAATGTTTGTAATTATATTTTTTACAAAATATGACTAGTTACAAATCGAATGAATTATGATTACCTATTATTATAAAAATCGAAAAAATCGCCAAAATGGATACCGCCTAGTCTATTAGTAATATATTACAGTTAAAATTCTTCTGTGGAGAAATGACGCTTATAATAAAAGTGAGACATACATATATCCTAAATTTACCTTATACTTATTATATCTCTGACTGCACGAAATGTATTTCAGTATACTAACAGTAGGTACTGGATGAAGCTATCGAGACTAATTAAATTTATTTTAATATTTATTCGTACCAATTTTGATACCATTAACGTTTTTTCAAAATAGCACAGATGCTCTCTGAAATACATGTTGTATATAAACTGTATCTTGGTCTGTATCTGTTTTATTTGGATTCACGTTCATGAATATCAAAATCAGATACAATTTGATTGAAATATTAAGGAAATTGCCAGGCCTCAATACCTGTCACTAAAATGTGGTTCCGATAATATTGTCGTTAATATTATAGCTACACCATCAGAAACGTTAGAAATGTCCAATCTTTTGGTTACCAACTGAAATATAGCAAACGAGTCCTCGAGCCACGATGTGTATTTGCTTTGGCTTAAAAACTGATCATTTCTAAAATTCCCTTTATTCGTAAGTACTTATTCATTATTTAGAAGTTATCCCAATATGTAAATCTAAAAAAATAAATTAAAAATAACGTGGAACTTACACGGTGTAAAAAGGATATTCTATTTAGATGTGCACAAGGTACTTAGGTGCATAGTTAGTACAAAATACGTTTAGTCGACAATTTATCAAACTATAGAGTTGCCAGAATCTTCTCATTCACATGTACACAACTGAAAATGAAAACACAAATGTGAAAGGTTTACTGGTCTACATAGTAAAGATATAACCTAACCTTTAATATAACACATTAAAAACTTTAAAAAATAACCCACTTTCCATTGGTAGGTACAGAATAATTTTCAGAGCACTAACTTGCTACCGCAAACCACAACACTCGTCTCAAAAATCATGTGAACTGATGAACATTGAGTTTATAAATAATACAGGGTGTTTATAAACTTAGAGAGGATATTTGATGAGTAAAATTGAGGTACAAAAATTCGATTGCCAAAGTATTTTTTACAAACAATTTTTTTAATACCTGCTGACTTATTACATTGTCGTAGGTAATGAAAATATTTTTGGAACCTCTGACTCCACCAATAGTTTTACCTCTGTTTACAAGTTTTATAGTGCATACGTTATTACCATGCCCATTAATTCATTGTTACTGCATTATTGATAGACCATTTTGGTATGTTGATTCACATTTATTAACACGCTGCTCTTTCACAAAAAGAAAACAGTTAAAAAAAATTAGAAAAATAAATTTTCACAATAAATGACACACGTTTCCGCAATGAAAACAAAACCAGAACTGATAGTTACCTACAATTGAACTAGCATTTTTTAAATTATTTGTTGGGTATTTTGCATTTTTGCGACCTGTGAAAATAATTTAAAAATTAATTGCATAAAACCTTGCCCAAAAGGATCACTCTAACGATTCCAGAAGTTCTCAATAAATTTTAACAATTCTAATTAGGCCTTAATTTGGTAATTTTTAAGTGTGATTTTAGACTGAGATGTTTATAAGAAGTTAACTAATGAAGAATGAAGATTGAATGAAGACGAATAATTGATTTTTTGTACTGTAGGTATATGTAACAAGTAGGTAATGAAATTATTTAATTCGAATTTTAAACATATGCTAGTATTAGGTACCTATGGTAAAAGTTACGCTAAAAGTGATCGCACTAACCAAAAATGTAACTCGTCTTGCGGTTTTGAACTTATAGCAAGCAGATAACCTATAAGATGAATTGGATGTAACTCCTAAATGAATAATTTTCTTTAGAGAATGATTTTAAAGTGCCTACCTACGTTCTATGTCGCCTTGTAGAAACCCAGATCAAAAAATAGCAAATAAAAAATAATACATATACCTAGGTATATCAAGGCTTGTTCACGTTGTAGAGTATATGGAAATAACGAAAAAAAAAAGGAAATAGCAGGTGTAAACAATATTTGTCTTACCTAATATATAGAAAAGTACCTATACCTACCTGAGTGTTATGGAAGAATTTTACATTCATTCTCTTGCATACCTATAAATCTCTATAGATATCTATTTAGCACAATGTGTCACAGTATGTCATATGCTATAGTAGATTTGTCAGTATTTGTCAGTTTATAGTAGTATGCGATTAGCTATAAGAGACAAATATAAGTATATCAGTATATTAGCTTATCTATCTAAATCTGATGAATGTTAATAAACCAAAATTAAATGTTTACTAGGCTCGTGATCAATATGAAGCAAATTGTAGGAATTCCTCTGGAATGAGAAGAAAACTGATTATCCAAAGACATAGGAAAATACCCAACTGAGACCTATATAGGTACATAGGTTCCAATCGGCTGTAGGATGCTAAGTTCGTCACAAGTCGTCTAAGGAGCGACGAAATCTTATTAATTCGCCAAGCTTATGGAAGAACTTGTAACACCAGCCGCTCAAATGGATTTTTAATCCGTCGGCTAACATGAATCTGTGTCCTTTGAGCAAATTTACAATCCAGTAGCCAACAAGGTTAAATTTACATGTCTAACAAAGAAGGAAAGCAAATTTAACACGAGTCCTGAAGGGGGACGAAATCCGGAGGCTTCGTTATTGATTACCAGCCGACCATTTTGTGCTATGCTATCAGCACAGAGCACCAATTGGAGCACAGAGTACGCAAACGCGATGGGCGTGGCTATAGGGGAAGGGGTCGACAAAAACTAATCGCCTAACCGATTTCGCCCGATGGCATCGGCCTCTCCTTAGTCGATTCGTAACCCCAGCCGGTGGCGGATGGTAACCGTGGTACTGCGCGAAAAATTATCACATTCGTTGGTAGCAAAGTGCTGTGTTTTGATTCAGAAGGACATTTCGATGTGGTATGATAGATTTCCGGGGCTAGGCTTGAACTGTTACATCCTAGTAGCCAAGTGAGGCAGGCACCATCACTTGGACTGCCTGAGGTGGTTGCGGTTTCGAACTTTGTGCGGACTGTTTCACGAAGTGTGGTTCGTATGGTGATGTCAGAGCAAGGTGGACTGGCAATGCACCAGTTACCAATGCATCACAGGGGTTTGGTCCAACCGAGCCTGGTTATGAATCCGCATCCCATCAACGATTCTTGCTCAGTGGATTCGCATAACAGTAAGTGGCGTTGATGTCTTCATTTGACTCTAAATGATACTTTAAGACGTTAAGCCATACATGAGCAGCACATCCGGTAACGAGATGATTCAATAAAGCTTGAAGCGCGCTGAGAAAAATGTATTAATTCTCCTATAATTGCACCAAAATGACCAAAAATTTAACAATGCACTCACCTAATTAAATTTGGTGTTACCCAATTTTAAACATCCATCTTTACTCTTTTCTTCATATGTCTACCTACCTGCTTGTTTATTCTAAATTTTTACAGAAAAATGGTAAGGTACCTACCTGCCACATTTACCAAAATGGTCAAGTTACATACATTCATTATAAATAAGCATGTTATTAGATAAAACGAATATAAAGGGTTATTCACATAAAATTCTAACCCTCTTATGTTTGTTGTTTTCGTATTTAGAAACAAAATTTCATGGGTCGAAGATGTTCAAAATTTTCATTAAATGAAACACATTGGACATTTTTATAGATTTGAGAGAACTCTAATAATAAGGTAGATATGCAGAAAATGCTAACAATATAGGTATTCTAAACTCATTTAACCTTATCTCTCTTATTATTTATTAGATATGGACCTATCAAACCTCATATCATAATATTAAGGATAATTCAAATAGGTATAAAATATATGTATGCTGAGAATTCTATAAGTTTAACTTGTATCTCCAAAATGCAACATTCAATTGTTTTTCTAAGTACAGTTTTGAAATTGGAAGAAAATTTCTTACAATTTTGTCTCATACCATTTATTTCCAATTATGAATATAAAAAAATAAGGGGGTAGAATGTGGAAAACCTTATATATAACTTATAGAAGTATACCAATGAACATATTATATGAACATATATCTTATGAACATTATACATCAGTGACTAATAAGTTCCCGGTATTTTTTAATTAGTTATTCCTTAATGGAAATTAAGCACCACCAAAATTATAGGTGTCCGTATAGGTCCAATAGGTACCAATCCATTAAGAATATTTAGGTACCCATATACAAAATTAAAACAATCGGTGGAACAAGTTTTTCATTTCATTACAAATTAAATTTTTGACCAATTCTTTTAAATTTTGCCTAATTATCTAAGTCTCTAAAGAAATTAGATCCCAATAGAAGACTTCAAAATAAAGAGATCTGTTGTAAATGTATCTTCAAATTGGTTTTTATGCAACTAATCGCGTTTTTTCCTTCACGTTTTACAAATGAAGGTTTTGATTAAATTATTTAATAATGATTATGCTCTATGTCAATATAGAACTGAATAAAAACCAAGATATTCGACGAAGCTAATTTAACAGTTGACTTCTTTACCTTCTTGTAGGTATAAATTCAGAAAAATCCTTCAAGTAGGAAACCATAAAAGTTTTCGATACTTGAATAGAAATACAATTATTAACTTTTTCGAAATGGGTGGCTGCTCTGGATTTTTTATCGTAATCTAAGGGAGGGGGGCTTAGAAAAAAATTGGCTAACTCCTGATCAGATGAGTAAGAATAAAATATAGATTTTTAACGATATCAGTAAAGCGTTTTTGTTATATCTTAATAATCTTGAAATTAAAGACTGTTCCCGACGGAAAGGATTTACTTGGTAGGAAATGATTTTAAAGAAAGATTGAAGTAGGTAGGTACACCTATGTCGCTAGCTATGGACACATTAAAGGTTAAACTGAGGATTAAACCAATATAACATCAAAATAATACAAACTATTATTTTTATTGTTATAACCTTACGAAATATCTAAAAACCTACAGGTGACTTACCTATAAATAGTTGTTAAATTTATTTAGGTAATATTTATGTAATTACAGTAGGTAGATATAACAAACTTGGAAAGTTTATATTTATATATTTACACTTTTAGACTTTGTAATAACTAAAAATATGTTTGTTTATATATTGTACCTCACTAGGCAATTAATTTATCTATATTAACAGGTATGAAAAGTGAAAAACGTTTAAAATAACTTTATAGTACCTATCTACACACTAATATAGGTTTACAACTAAATGGAATCTCAACATAGGTATCGATTCCTTACCTAAAGTTGTAGACATAATTTCTGAGAATCTCTATGAAAGAAAGAAAGAATATCTTTCTGAGAATTTTTCTACTTTTGTGCAGAAATCAGTCAGTTGTATTATCATTATTTTTAAGAATGCAAACCTTTGTGTACTTAGGAATTACCTTTCCGACCTTATCAAATACAATAAGTAGGACTTAATATTGCTTATTTTTTCAACAAAAATTGATTTTGTGTATTTATGACATACCTACTTATACCCATTGTACATGCACATAGAATACATACCTATGTATATTGATTTTCATAAAGGAATTTATATTGTAAGGGTTAGTTCAGAAATTTATATCGATATGAATTTAATTTTAAGACCAAAAATTACTAAAAAGTTATTACATACATTTTTATCATAAACGAAAATTACTATTCGAAAATTATTTCCGTAATAAATTAAAACAAATGAAATAGTTAAACACGTAGGTAATTGAAATATGCACCGAGGTAGATGGACAGGTATCTACTTTGTCTGACCTGTCCTTGTTTTAAGCAAAGACATTCCTTACTATTGAAATCACTTATAAAAAGTTAACCAGTATCAATTAATATAATGTACCTTCGAATTTTTCTGAGAAAAGAATAGTCAGGGAACATGTATTCGTCATATCCTTATTTCTGAGTATCTGCAATGAAAAAGGATACTCCCGAAGAGTGTGATTGTCAACCAAATCAAAATATCATTAGGAATTTTTTCGCATTTTTAAATACATCTCTTTATTATTAAAATATAGACTTACTTAACTATTTTTTTTAAAGAATATAGCCATGTTATAAAAGTTTTGTTTATTAAGTCTGAGTTGAAATTGTTTAACAACCTTTGGTACCTACGATTAATTGTAATTTTTTTTTTATTTTTCTAGAAATGTCACCTCTTATTCCGATTCGACCAAGCAAAACATTGCGTGACTTCTGTTTATTATTATTTTATATGGATTTTTATAATATATTCATAGGTAGGACGACGCACCCTAAGGAAATGTTAAACATAACATTTGTTTTATAACATTTTCAAAACTTTGAGAAATCTGCCCAAATAAATTTTGGAAGGTGTACTGAAAACTTAATTTTTAATTTAATATTATTTTTGCTTTTACACAACCCTTTGACTTTATTGCAAATATTTCTTAATTTTTCATAGGCATTGCTCTGACCGCAGAATCTGCGCACGCGTGGCAAAGCGAAGCTATGGCGGAGCATATGCTTATCTCATAAGGTCTTATTTTCGTCAGTACTGTATAGGTTGTTCCAGAAATATATCTTTCCGAAAACTCCCATATTTGTTCTTTATTTCATATCCGTTAAATATATGTTAAACAAGTACCTAGGTGCCTACCTAAGTATACTGCGAATGTTTTGTGGAAAGACTATTTTTTGTGCCTCATAATTAACTATTATTATTATTCTTCAATGGCGGATTAAAATATTTAATGTTTTTAAAAATTTGGATGTTTTAAAAACTTGAGATTTTCAAAATTATTAGTCAAACTAATTGTTTGTACTTGTACCCTGTATAGTTGACTGTTAAAGATCACTACGCTAAGTAGTGTGTGGTCAACTGTATATGTTATCAATTTAATTTTAGCCAGTTATGTAAAGCTACATCAATATTTATACATTAATTCTTGTGAATCAATACCACTTGAGGCGAAAATATTAGAATTAAATTTGATATCTATTTTTTTAAATAAATACCTAAAGTATTCCGATTTGCAATCGTTTGTGTGAATGAAAGTAGGTATCTACAATTTTTATTCAACCTGGTTGTTACTTTCACTATTTTTATTTTCATTTCTTCTATTACCTACCTATTTATGAACCTATCTTTATTATAAATTCATATCTTATTTGATTACTTAAGATTTGTTCTTTTTGTTCAACTTTTATGATTTTCTAATAGTTTCCTTAAAGAATTATATATGTAGATGTGAATTCAATGACTAGTCGTTTATTTTGATAATATATCTGGATCTATCTAACCTAATCAAATATGTATTTGAATATCCCATAATTATTTTATTTTATAAGTACCAATATGAGAATTTTCCATTTTAATACAAGTACGTAATACAGAATTTGATCATTAAAAGAAATATGAATTAAAGATAATAAAAGTAGGAATATTTACGTCTAAAATTCGTACAGAATACCTATATATAAATTAAGAGTCTTCACTTCATATTATTCATATTACTGAGATAATTTTATTCTTTCCACAAATACGAGAATATCTGAAGTACCTACAGATTATTTTTGTACTCTGGCTACTGAAATAATTAGAATTACCTTTTCAGAACATCAAATACTTAGTAAATACATTTTTGCTACTTTTATTGATTGTAAATATCGAAAATTCGATCTTCAGTATTTTCAGGTTTAATATTGTAAGTTTATTTTCTTATTTTGGTTTTTACTTTACTGGTTTCCAATTTTACAGATTTACCGCAAAATATTTTATTTGGCTTCATAAATATAAAAATTGTATTTCCATTACTAAATCCAGATGTTTCAGAAGAATAATAGGATATTGTGTGCAAAGGGACTAACGTGCGTCTTTTTTAATCCTAAGGGAGAATTCGTCCTGAGACATCAATAAAAAATAAAAAGACTTAGGTGTTACGTGATTTACATTATCAAATCTTTAGATTTTTACAGAATTGAAGTCTAATTCCTGTTAAAATACTACAACGAAAAGGGAAAATATATAATTTAAATAAAAATCTTTTTTAATGAAATGCTTTACATTATTCTTATTTGATAAAACGCTTTCTTATTTTATTCCTTATCCGTAATAATGAGGGAGAGGATATACCTAGCCAAAAGAGTACCCTAAAAACTTAATATTTTATTACATTATTATTATTATTACCATGCAACCAAACCATCATCTAACAACACA